TCCACTGTAAAGCAAAAATCTATACACACACACACACACACACACACACACACACACACACACACACAAACACACATTACCAGTCTTTATGAGGTTCTGTTTGTGCTTTGTACTAAACTGTACATTTGTCCATGTCTGTGGTCATTGCCTACCTGTACAGCTTTATGATTTCAGTGATGTGGAAAACGTGGATAGAATCACGGAATCCAGTCATAAAAATGGAATTTACAGTATAATGCGGACAAACAAATCAAAAATAGGGCTGTACACTTAATCAAATTGTGATATGGACTAGTGTCTGCGAATATTAAAGCTCAAAAAGACTGCTATTTATTCTGATATTTTAAGTCTTAAAAAAACAGATTTCACAAGGCCCTAAAAATTAGATTTTTGTTAAATGTTTAATAAATTGTTGTTAAATTGTTAAATGTTTCATTATTGCAATTAATTAGACATGCTTTTTGATAACTAAAATTTAGTTTTGGCATTAAAATGAAATCTACAAAAAAATTTAACCAGAAAAATGGAATCCAGAAAAAATCAAACAGGGGAAAAAAAAAAAAAAAGGAATCCAGAAAAAAAAAAAACGGAATTCAGAAAAATTTGAAAATAAAAATTTAATTTTGGAAAAATAAAACAGAATTTGGGAAAATATTAAATGGATTTCATAGGCCCCTAGACTTGTTAAAATAAATTAGGATTTGTTGATGTGTAGGTTCTTTGTTTAGCTCATCTTATTCATTATCTTTCTGAACTTTACAATCAGGATTTGAAATAATAAATGAAAAGCATGGGCAATTTTCAATCATTTTTTCTGGGAAACGGCCTCCTTTAAGACGTTAAGTCTTGCTTTCGGAGGATTTGAGTTTAAGCTTAAAGCAAAAACAAGTATCTGCCAATAAGGTAAAAAAAAAACTTGTTTTCCCTTTGAATTCAATTTTTATTCTTTTTATATGGTACATTTTCTCACCCCATTAGCAGATATTAGTTAACATTTGATGTGATTTTGCGTCTCCAGTAAATGTATGTGTATTTAAGAATGTTGAGATATTTCTCTGTGTGTGTGTGTGTGTGTGTGTGATGTGCAGCAGATCCTGCAACAGCAGCAGCAGGCGGCGCTCATGGCAGCGACACAGGGCTCGTATCTCAACCCCATGACTGCCATCACCGCCGCTCAGATGCAGCAAATAGCAGCTTTCAACCTCAACGGCCTGGTGGCTGCACCCATGACGCCGTCTTCAGGTACAAACACACACACGCACACACACACACACACACTCACACACACTCACACTCAGCCGTTCCTCTCACTGCTGTTTGTCACCACAAGGCTTTTTTGTTTTGATGTTTTTCAGCTTCTTTTGATTGCTTTCACATATCCACACAGATGCGCTTACAAAACCTAGTGAGCTGCCTATTTAGACAGCATTTCAAGTGTCCTGGATGTGAATTCTACTCCAAAAAGATGCTTCAGTTCTGGCAATCCGAGGCAGACTCAGATACAGTATTCATAATTACAATCCCAGAATGCACTGCAAAAATGTATTTCCATATTGGAAAGTACTGATTTTTTTATACCAAATATTTGTGTGTGCCTTGTAGTTTGGGGTCAGTTTAATTATTTATTTATTTATTTTTAGAGATTAATAAACATTTTAGTTTGACCTTTGACCTAAAATGATATAGAAACTATTTTGTTGTACTAGGCATGATGTTTTATTCCCCCCCCCCCCTTTTTTTTTTCATGATGTTTTATCCCCCCCCCCACTATTTGTCACAGCTGTCACTATTTAATCTTGACAGCTTTTATTAGATTTTCCCCAATATTATTTTTATTTAAAGATATTTGTTGCACCAAATTGTTGGAAAGTTACTCAAACTGATACTTTGTAACTCAAAGACACATTCAGTTGATCAAAAGTGTCACTAAAGGCATTTATAATGTTACAGAAGATTTCTATTTCAAATAAATGCTGTTCCTTTGAACTTTCTGTTCATCTGTGAATCCTGGAAAATAAAATGTGTCACGGTTTCCACAAAAATATTGTGCAGCACAACCGTTTTCAACATTGATAATAATCAGAAATGTTTCTTGAGCAGCAAATCAGCATATTAGAATGATTTCTGAAGATCATGTGACGCTGAAGACTGGAGTAATGATGCTGAAAATTCAGCTTTGATCACAGTATTGAACACATATTCAGATAGAAAACAACTTTTTTACATTGTAATAATATTTCACAATTTTTACAGTATTTTGAATCAAATAAATGCAGCCTCGGTGAACAAAAGAGACAAAAACATTTTAAAAAATCATAAAGTTTTGATTACTAGTAGGATGCTGTCTATGTAGACTGTAGACAGTGATACTCACTAGGTTCTGGAACAGAGCGAGTGTGTTTTCGGCTCAGTAAGACACAAGGTGTGATGGGAAATGATCCGTCTCAGTGTGAGGATGAACTTGGGAACACGGCCAATCTGATGCCTTTGACCAGAGAGTCCTTGACTGAAGAATACAGATGTGAAGATTTGTGACGGATAATCCCAGACACCCGTTTGACCCCCTGTCACACACACACACACACACACACACACACACTCCTGATGTGCTGCTGCACGGCTTTAAGCGTCCAGCTACAAAAGCCAGCTGACATCTCAGAGGAAGGGTCACGAGGAATTAATTAAAGTTCTTCCTCTCGCTCTCATCTGTCAGTTTCCCGCTTTGATAATCCGTGATGTGGACACACACTCTTGTTGCCCGTCAGCTTTAATCTGGCACCTCTGAAATGTCCTTGGAGGAAAGCTGAAGGAAGTAAGCGATCAGTGTTAGAAGGGCAGCAGAGAGACATGACATGACCGGAGACATGAGAAAACACTTATTAATGCTCCTGTGGACAGACCGGCTTCAGTACAATAAACTAGGAGCCAATCAAATGCTTCTCAGTTTATAATTCTGTAATGGAGTGAATTAGTGCCCACCCACTGTTACAAACAATGTTTTCCATTCATTTTTCACATATAGGGATTTAAAAAAAAAAAAGTCATTAAAGTGTTAAAAAACCATGAAGCAAACCGACCAGATTCAAGGTGCATCACAACAACAACTTTGATTTGAAGCAAAAAAAATCAGACAGAAAGACAAAGATGCAAGACTTAACTTAAAAGAGGGAAATAACTACTATTTACTTTGTTTAAAGTTGTTGGTTTTCGACTATTAAACATGATTATTTTAAAAAATAAGTTGAATTAATGTAAACTGATGGCTTCGACAAAAGCATATACCATTGATTAATAACCTCAGAGCTCACAGCAGTTCTGTCTTTAACAGTTTATACGTTATCATTAAAAATCTGTTGCATATGGACAAAATGAGTGGATATTTTAGTTCTGGAATGCAGCTGTTCCATTTGCTCTCTGCCTTTCTCTGATTGGTGGAGTTTTCTGTACAGCATCATGGGAAATGTAGGTTTTCACCAGGAATTAACACATGATTCTTTAAAAAAACAAAACAAAAGCATGTACCAGTGGTTAACAGCCTCGTAGCTCACAGTAGGTTTGTGTTTAAAAGCTATATTTAAAAGTTATTGTTAAAAATCAAGTTCACACATGCTGATTTGCTGCTCAAGAAACATTTCTGATTATTATCAATGTTGAAAACGGTTGTGCTGCACAATATTTTTGTGGAAACCGTGACACATTTTATTTTTCAGGATTCACAGATGAACAGAAAGTTCAAAGGAACAGCATTTATTTGAAATAGAAATCTTCTGTAACATTATAAATGCCTTTAGTGACACTTTTGATTAATTGAATGTGTCTTTGAGTTACAAAGTATCAGTTTGAGTAACTTTCCAACAATTTGGTGCATCAAATATCTTTAAATAAAAATAATATTGGGGAAAATCTAATAAAAGCTGTCAAGATTAAATAGTGACAGCTGTGACAAATAGTGGGGGGGGGGATAAAACATCATGCATAGTACAACAAAATAGTTTCTATGTCATTCAGGTCAAAGGTCAAACTAAAATGTTTATTAATCTCTAAAAATAAATAAACTGACCCAAAAATACAAGGCACACACAAATATTTGGTATTAAAAAATCAGTAATTTCCAATATGGAAATACATTTTTGCAGTGAATTCTGGGATTGCAATTATGAATACTGTATCTGATTCTGTCTCAGATATATGGCCCTATTTTAACTATCTAAGCGCATGGTCTAAAGCGCAAGGCGCAGATGCACTTAGGCCGTGTCCGAATCCACTTTTGCTAGTTTAATGACGGGAAAAACGGCACGCATGGTCTAAAAGGGTTGTCCCTATTCTCTTAATGAGTAATGGGTGTGTTTTGGGCATAATGTGCAATAAACCAATCAGAGTCTCATCTCCCATTCAAGTTGATTCACTATTTACACGGCGGAATTTGCAAGCGCAAAGACTGAACGCGTCTCCAGAGAGGAAACGGAGTTGCTCGTGCGCGAGCAAAAAGTTAGCCTAATTCTGATACATGCAGTGACTATCCATTATGACATGTAGGCATTTTTATATTTATGTAGCCTACACAATAATAATCTTTTACAATGTAATCCGTTCATTTTTAATATTTGGTATCAAAAAAATTATTAAATAAAAAATACTGCGTCATTGACTTTAGACCAGGTTTTAGTTGGTCAATGGCGCAGTCTATTTCAGTAGCCTCAAAATAACAACGTGCCAACAATGCGCCTGAACACACCTCGTTTTCAGACCAGCACACCCATGGGCGCACAAATCGGAAAATGATAACTGCGTTGGGCTGAAGCTAGCAAAAATATATGATAGGGCCCATTATGTTTCTTCTCTAATTGTACATGCAAGTGTAGCCGAAATCACAAATTACAGTATGTGGGCACAGAGAGGCAAACAAATGTAATAATAAATAATAAATGTACATTTTGCATGTTCAGAAGAAGTAAGCTGCCCTGTCCTGCAAATGTAAACAGGCTTGTGTAAGTAAATTGCTCAGTGCAAAAAAAGTGAAGTAATGTGAACCTGGTATTTCTATGTTCTTTTTTTCATGTGTCTAGTAGACATGAACAAGTTATTTGAAAAACATCTATACCTTTGAAACATGTCTTCATGCTCTATGTTGAGTATGGTTTCACTAATAATAAACATGCATTTGCATAAAGCATCCATATTTGTCCATGCCCATGTTGATTAAAGTATTAAAAACTTGAAAAGTATTAATTTAAAGTGCATTTAGAACAGATTAAAATGTGCGATGAAGTTGCGATTAATCATGAGTTAACTCAGGACAACCATGCAATTCATCGTGATTAAATATTTTAATCGATCGACAGCCCTAGCACAGACCTTTCATGGCTTTATATATATATATATATATATATATATATATACACTCACTGGCCACTTTATTAGGTACACCTTGCTAGTACCAGTTGGTTGGACCCCCTTTTGCCTTCAGAACTGCCTTAATTCTTCGTGGCATAGACTCAACAAGGTGTTGGAAACATTCCTCAGAGATTTTGGTCCATATTGACATGATAGCATCACGCAGTTGCTGCAGATTTGTCGGCTGCACATCCATGATGCGAATCTCCCGTTCCACCACATCCCAAAGGTGCTCTATTGGATTGAGAGTTGGCCCCCTTTTGCCTTCAGAACTGCCATAATTCTTCGTGGCATAGATTCAGCAAGGTGTTGAAAACATTCCTCAGAGATTTTGGTCCATATTGACATGCTAGCATCATGCAGTTGCTGCAGATTTGTCGGCTGCACATCCATGATGCGATTCTCCCGTTCCACCACATCCCAAAGGTGCTCTATTGGATTGAGATCTGGTGATGGTGAACTGTGGGTACACTGTGGTCATAAAGGTATGGACATGGTCAGTAACAATACTCAGGTATGCTTTGGCATTTAAACAGTGCTCAGTTGGTACTAATAAGCCCAAAGTGTGCCAAGAAAATATCCCCAGCAGCCTAAACCATTGATACAAGTCTGGATGCATGCTTTCAGGTTTAAACCAAATTCTGACTTTACCATTCAAATGTCACAGCAGACATCGACTGTCATCAGACAAAGCAACCTTCTTCCTGAACAGGTGTACCTAATAAAGTGGCCGGTGAGTGTGTGTATATATATATATATTATTTTTTATTTTTTTTCTTACACCAGGCACCAGCACTCCACCAGGCATCAGCGCCACCGCTGTGCCCAGCATCGCAGCTCAGATCGGTGTGAACGGCTTCAGCACTCTCCATCCCCAAACCAACGGACAGCCCTCCTCCGAATCCATCTACACCAACGGCATCCACCCGTACCCAGGTAACACCACTTATTCCACTTTACTCTCCTGGAAACAGCTGCATACTGGATGTCATGCCTTGGATGCACAACACATTTGGATTTGGAGCAACTAAAACAGCACTGAATCAGCATAAAACAACCAAGACTGGCACCAAAAAACATCCTGTCAGAGCTGCAGACACACTGAGCTGTGGTGCTGATGTAGATGACACAAGTTTGGTTTCTCTCTTTTTACAATATTAGTCTACAAATACAAATATTCCAGTTATTCCTAACCTGTTTAAAATGCACGTCAAATCTTTGTAATCATGCTGGTTTAAATAAATAAATGTGTACATAATATAATATATAAAATAATATAATATAATATAATATAATTAGTGCTGTCAAACAATTAATCGTGATTAATCACATCCAAAATAAAAGTTTTTGTTTACATAATATATGTGTGTGTGCTGTGTATATTTATTATGTGTATATATAAATACAAACACATGCATGTATATATTAAAGAAAAATATGTTGTTTATATATTAAATATATATTTACATTTACATTTAGTCATTTAGCAGACGCTTTTATCCTTACAATACAGACGTACAAATGAGGACAATAGAAGCAGTCAAAACTAACAAAAGAGCAACAATATATAAGTATATAAGTGCAAATGACAAGTCTCGGTTAGCCTAACGCAGTACACGTAGCAAGGTGTGTAT